TATGACGAAGTTTTTCTTTTTATTTTTATATTTTCTTGTTTAAAAAATTACTATTAAAATGTTCCTTCATTGGAACTATCACGTTATGCTTCTAAAGTATATGTCAAAGTTCTGAAGTATAGATCAAATCTTATGGGAGCATTCTCGGTATTTTATATATATATATTATATTATATATTATATTTTATATATATATATTATATTATATATTATATTTTATATATATATATATATATATTATATATATATATAAAATACATACATATATATATATATATATAAAAGAATATAAATTTACTTTATATTCTATTCTCTTTTGAAATGGATAACAAAAAAAAAAAGAGATCATCTTATAATCGCAGAAAAGATTTTTCACAATTCGACTTTCATTATATAGTCTTTCATCCGGCTACTCTACTATATATTACGAGGGAGGAGGAGGAGGAGGAGGAGGAGGAGGAGGAGGAAGAGGAGAGGAAGAAGAGAAGAGATAAGGAGTGGAAGAGGAGAGGTAGAGAGACATAGTGGGTTTGGGGTGTGTCCATTACGGTCTTCTTCCATTTTGTAGTTGTCCTCATAGAGTTTGAGATGGCGAAGATAGAACAAAAAGAAAAAAAAAAAAAAGAAAAATAAGAATAAAACGAAATAAAATAAAATTATGAAATAAAAGAAAGAGAAAAAGAAAAAGAGAAAAAAAACCTATTTTAGACATCTGAGGTTGTTTCAGCAACAACGTTGCTGTCGTTGCCATCACTGCTGCTGCTGCTGCTGCTGCTGCTGCTATTGTTGTTGTTGTTGTTGTTATTATTATTGTTGTTGTACTGTTAATGCTGTTACCATTGTTGTTCTTGTTCATTCACAAAAGCTGCAAGCCGATATCGCAGCCAATTTAATAATAATTATTTTATTTTATTTTGATTATTATTATTATTATTATTATTATTATTATTATTATTATTATTATTATTATTATTATTATTATTATTATTATTATTATTATTATTATTATTATTATTTATTGATGAATCATTCATTCATTCGTCACGTATTATTATTGTATTTTTTCATATATCTACGTGCAAATGGTAAACAGATAAATATATAGACAGATAAAATTCCATTTTTAATATCAATAGAGATAGGGAGAGAGAGAGAGAGAGAGAGAAAACATTAAAAGTTAAATTATACTTTATACTTCTGCGAATAAAGTTTACTTATACGTGTGTGTATATATATAGATATATATATATATATTTATTTTTTTTTTTAGTTTGTTTCTTCTCTCTCATTTACCTTTTCTTTCTGTTTTTTCAATCGGTTGACTGAAAATCATCGTTCATAATTGTACTTTTCTTATCTCTTTTTTCTCTTTTTTTGTTTGTTTGTTTGTTTGTTTATTCGTTTATTCGTTTTTATTATGTATTATTATTGTTAATATTAATTTATACTCAATACACGTTCTATATCCCGCTTAATTATTTAAAATGGATTTCCATTAAAAATATTTTAACACATGTAAAATAACGAATTGCATTAATTTATTCCCATTATAATGGGAAAAAGTTCAACAGACGAAATTCTGCTTGAATCTCGTTGTGAAATTTTCTAGGTATACATACATACATACATACATACATACATACATACATACATACATACATACATACATACATACATACATACATACATACATACATACATACATACATACATACATACATACATACATACATACATACATACATACATACATACATACATACATACATACATACATACATACATCATACATACATACATACATACATACATACATACATACATACATACATACATACATACATACATACATACATACATACATACATCATACATACATACATCATACATACATACATACATACATACATACATACATACATACATACATACATACATACATACATACATACATACATACATACATACATACATACATACATACATACATACATACATCATACATACATACATCATACATACATACATACATACATACATCATACATAAGTACATACATACATATATATATATATTTTTTTTGTAATTCTCTCATACGTATTTAATTACTTAATTCCTCAAGCAGAAATAAGTATATATAAGTTTCTCTATATTTTTTTTTAGAACATACATACATACATACAATACATATAATACATACGACACATACATGCATATATACATACATACGATACATACATACATACTTGCATACTTCGAATATATACATACATACTGCTGCACTTTTTCTTCCCCTATGGCGGAGCTGTCCAAATAACTATGGCCGTTCGATAATTTGTGATAATTATTTAATTATCTTTCTGAATTATGATATCATTGATATGATGATACCATTTGAACGAGATACTTGAACAACTCCGTTAGGTCTTACATTAGAGTCATATATAGATAGGTATGTATATGTCTATAAGTCTAAGGTATATATATATATATATATATATATACCTGGTATATATATATATACCATTCACATGATATATCGCAGTATATCCAATACGAACATGAATTTTAATAATTTCTGTATTATTATTATTATTATTATTATTATTATTATCAAATATTAATATTATCATTATTATTATCATTATTATTAATGAAATATTTTCTTTTTTTTCCTTCGACTTTGTTTATATTATTGCATTATTTTCATGAAAAAAAGTGTAAAGTTCGATATGCGCGTTTAATGGCGGCCGACAAAATGGCTACCACGAAAGATGGATTCCATATTGGATGTACTGCAATGACATCAAGGAGAACCTCGTTCCTCTGTATCCTCATGAAGTATTTATCTATTTTATAAATCCTTCAAATGGATCAGATCTTTCGAAAAAAATCTTTTTATTCTTCTTTCTTTTTCTTTACTTTCTTTTTGGTTTCTTTTTTTCTTTTTTTTTTTTTTTTTTTCTTTTCTTTTAATAATTCTTAGTCAACATTTTTACCAGACGCTACATTTACGCGTTGGATTCATCGGTGAGCCTGGTCGACAATTATAGGCCTTAGCGAAGTCCTCACTATTTGAAAGCGGGCCCAACACTCTCACCGGACCCGGTGAATGTACGCTACTGCGTATTTTCGTTAGTGCATCCTCTCGTCTCATCGAGCCACACCAAATTTGTGCATAATTAAGGAAGAAAAGTTGATCGTGAGTTAAATTCACGCCAGGTAACAATGGTTCCTCTCCGTGTATAGAAACCCACTTTTTGTAAGCCTAAAATAACAAGAACAAATAAATAAATAAATGACAAAACGTCAGGTAGTGTATATAAGTTGTCCTAGATATTTGTTAAAGTAACTACGATAACTTATCGTACTTACACGAAACGATTGTTTTAATCCACCATTATCAGCGATATTTTCACCTTGTGTCATTCGGCCATTTATGTAAAGATCAACTTCTTGTAATTTGTAACGGGAGTACTGATCTACGATACACTGTGCCCTCTCTCGAAATGCTTTAATGGTCGCATTATTCCACCACTGCATCATATTGCCATCCTTGTCAAATTGTCGTCCCTTGTCATCGAATCCGTGAGTTATTTCATGACCAATCACAACACCGATTCCACCGTAATTCAATGATTTAGGAAAGTGCTGAGAGTAGAAAAGCGGTTGCAGTATACCAGCGGGAAATACTGAAATTCATAACAATTGGATAGATTTTTTTTCAAACACCTCTCTTTTTATCCTTTCTTTCTTTATCTATATATTAACGATCAACTCACCTATGTCATTTTTATTTGGATTATAAAACGCATTTAACACGGCTGGCTCCGTGGACCATTTATCCTTGTCAACCGGTTGACGTAATTCTTGAAGATTGTGATATGCGTCGTATTTATGTACCGCCAAAACATTTTCCAAAAAATGATCCTCCGTTATGTTCAACTGAAATTATTTCTATTTGATGTGAACGTTTACAGGGATAATCTGATGAATTTTTATTTTAAATTACGTTTCGATGAGAAAAAAAAATAAAAAATCTGGTGACATATTTTGGATATCGAATAAACATATACACAAAAATACATAGACATACACACACACACACACATACCGTCACGTATTCGAAGGAAAGTTTGACCGGATCCTTCAAAAATTCTGGATAACCGATTCTCTCATTCATTGAATCAGCCTTTCCTTTGGCAACGGTCCTGGTTTCATCGTCCATCCATTGATTCTCGGCTAGCAATTCATTAAATGCTTCGCGTATAGTTCGTATCATTTCCAATGCTGTTTCCTATAATAATAATAATAATAATAATAATAATAATAATAATAATAATAATAATAATAATAATAATAATAATAATAATAATAATAATAATAATAATAATAACCATTATCAAAAAAGTATTCACGTTCATTCATACTTCTTTGATATGTATATATCACAAAATATAATTAATAGCTTTAACGAACCTTGCTCTCGTGATTAAAATTGTCACGTATGAAAAGTGCACCCACAGCCATTCCAAGATTTTTATTGGTCCATTCGACGCATTGGGACCATCTATTTCTCTCGCTTAGAATTCCTGATAATATCTTACGAAATTCAATTCTCTTTTGCTGATACTCGTCTATCATATGCGGCATTATGGACATCACCAATCGCCATAATATATAATTGTGCAATGTCCTTTAAAATAGGAATAATAAATATTACGATGAAATCAAACGAAAAGTAATCCTAATGAAAAATTCATAATAAAAATAGCAATTCAATTGCCGGGTAATATTATTTTTAACGGGGTCGAAGCTTTGATTGGAATTAAAATTATTATTGATTCCAAGAACGATAGGATGTAGCGATGGGAATTACAATTTTACGTTGGCAAATTTAACGATGCGTTTTAAAAAGCGTTATCGATGTTATGAGATCGAAAGGGGGAAAAAGAAAAAAAAAAAAAAAAGAAAAAGGAACAAAGTCTAAAAGATATTGAAATGGTCGGAAATTCAATTTTAACCGGGAAATTTAATCATTTTTTAAATGATTTCGATCGAAAAAGGTAGAAAAAAAAAGACATGATCGGGAGATAAAAGCTCTTGGGTTTTTAAAAAGCTGTTGGAAAAATGGGAAAAAAAAAAAAGAGAAAAAAAGAACCCCGAAACAAATCGGAAATCCGATTTCAACGGGTAAATTTTAACATTCGACTTTTTGATTCGATAAAACGATAATAGATAAAAGTGTGGAGTATTAAAAAAAGGGATATTACGATGTTAAAAAAAAAAAAAAAAACGAAAGAAAGGAAGAAAATTAAAAAGAAAAAAGAAAAAGAAAGAAAAAAAGAAAACAAGAACGAACTAAAAAAAAGTCGAAAATTCGACTTTTTAAAGGTTAAATAAATTCAATCAAAGGGGAAAGAGGGGGGGGGAGTTTAAAATAAAATAAAATAATAAAATAAAGAAAAAAATGGATAAAATGTTTCTAACGATACGTTCATCGAACAACAATCTAAGATCAATAAAAATTTTATGCAAATACACGATGTGGAAAGGAAAGGGGGGGGGGGGGGAAAGGAAAAAAAAAAAAAAAAAAGAACAATTCGATTGGATATTTTTCACAAGTATCCAAGTAATCAATAATTAACTGATACAACAAATAAATACCTGCGATCGGTTTTTTGTACGATACGACCCATTTGAAGGAAATAGGGCATCGCGTATGCCACTAGTGGCTCGTCCTCGGTAATCGGTGCGCTTATGAATTCCTCGAGATAAACTTTCCATTTAAGTTGCGGCACCTCTTCCTGTAGTTCCCGCAACGTTAACTTTCTATAGATCATTGAGGTATCATGCCTGTCGGCCTCGGGCAACGAAGCCTGCGAGATATTAAAAAGATACAAAGAAATAAAAAAAGAAAGGAAGGAAGGAAGAAAAACTAAAAAGGGAGAAAGCAAACAAAAAAAAAATGTTCGGCCATTCTTAATTTGATTTAAGTTCAATGAAAAAGAGAGAGAGAGAGAGAGAGAAGAATGGAAAGATTGGAAAAAAAAGAAAAAAAAAAAAAAGAAAAAAGAAAAGAAAAGAAAAAAAAGAAAGATAGACAAAGGACACGTACATTGGCAAGTTGTTTTTCAAGGGCGATCACGCGATTAAACTCGAGTGCTGCATTTTCACGATTGGCGCCAAGCAAAACAGCCACGTTGGTCATATAACGATGATAAGCATCCAATTCAGCCTCGCTGTTCTTCTTCAGATAATAATCACGACTGGGTAATGCCAGCTGCATTTGATCCAGCTAATCGTGAAAAAATCAATGAGAAACGAGTTTCGTTAATTAATCGCCAAATTAATTATATACTTTCTTTAATCGAGATTTTGTTCCCCTTTAAACGAGGATCGCTATATCGATCCATACTTTTTGATTGGGAATTTCTTTTTGCTTTTTCATTTTGCCTTTTTTTTTCTCCTTCTTTTTCTTTTTCTCTTTTTTTTTGTTTTTTTTTTTTTTGTTTTTTTTTCGATATAAATCACATCGTATATAGATGATTTTTATTTTATTTTATTTTACTTTATTTTATTTTATTTTTTTTTTTTTTTCTTTACGAAATTTACTCCAGATGAACGATTAATGAATCCTGATTGGTAAATTGAATTTTATTTATTTACTTTATTTATTTATTTTCTTGTTTTTTTTTTTTTTTTATTTTTTTTTTTCTAATACTTTGTTTCGTTTTTGTATTTGTATTCGTTGTCGTTGTCGTTGTCGTTGTTGTTGTTGTTGTTGTTGTTGTTGTTGTCGTTGTTGTTGTTGTTGTTGTTGTTGAAAACGAATAAAAAAGAGAATGTCATGCATTCGTCGACCAAGGGGCCTTACTTTGCCGGCGCACCTGCAGGATGTTGGTTGAGGAATTCTTGTCGTCTGGGCCAACCCATTGCTCCATTAGAACGCCCTCGTTGTATTCACCACGTAGACGACCCAAGAGAACCTCGATTGGATAAGGTGGTGGCTCCCAAGATGCTCCAATAACTGCTGGCCAACCACCAAGTGCTGTCAATGTTTCCTTCAGAGGTCTGTCACCGATCTCCCGTATGCGTGCTGCAAATTCATCGATTATGAAAAACAATAGAAAATTTTTATTAAAACCTTCGACGTGATAGGGAGTCCTTTCGCTGGGAGAATTGATTTTTTTTTTTTTTTTTTATATATATATATATATATATTTATCTCGAATCAATAAAAGAATGGAAAAGAATTGTGCGCGAACGCAATTGATTAATTAATTTATTTTATTACTTTCTCTTTTTTCTTTTTTTCTTTTTTTTTTTTTTTTAATTTATCATCAGTCATTAGCGTAAAAATTCATATGTTGCAAAAATACAAGAGTGAGAGAGAGAGAGAGAGAGAGAGAGATAGTTTTGGGGAGTACCGTTAATTACATTTCTGTAATTTTTTTTTATACCCACGGATGTCCATGCACGATTTGTAGAACATTTTGGCCTTCAGAGTTGCATGATTGTCGTTCTCGTTCGGTGATTCCTCGAGGACACGTTTCAGAATGATCTGGAGTTGATCAGCTAGTACCTCGAAGGTACTGATGGAACTTCTATCCTCTGGTATCACGTGCAAACGATTCCAAGCACCGCATGCGTATTGAAAAAAGTTAACACAGGGTGCAACAGTCTGGTCCATCGCTGAGAGCAAACTTGCGGCTGTATATATGTGAAAAAAAATCATTAAACTTCTTTTTAATTTTAATTCCTTAATTAATTATTTTAATAAATTAATTAATTAATTTCTTCTTTTCTTCTTTCCTTCCTTCTTCTTCTTTTTTTCTTTTTCTTGTTTTTTTTTTAATATCGAAACAAAATTACAACGACTCTTCTCTATCAATCCTTGGATAAAAATTATTTACTAATTATTAAAATTGTCCAAAACTATTGTCACGAGCTATTATCGAATTAATTTAAAAACAAATCTTTGCTTAGATTTACCATTATTTATTTATTTATTTATTTAATAATTTAATTAGATTTACTGGAAGCCAACGTGATTTTCCATCCCTCTTCCCAAAACGAGCAAAATTATCCGATAACGAAATTATCCAGAAGGATGATTAATATCGTGACACGACTTAAGTGAACGACGTCGATTTAATGAGCTGTCGCGTACACCGTCGCAAATTAATTGCAATCCTGATTAATCTTCACTCCTTTAGGCTAAATACCGTTAAGAGATGATTAGATATTTCATGTGAAAATCAAATATTATAAAATATACATTTTCAATATATAACAGGCATATATATATATATATATATATATATATATATATATATATATATATATATACAAAAAAGTAAGATAAAAATTTATTGATATAAATATATATTATATATATACATATATTTATTTTTTATTGTATATTACTCGCAGTATAAAATAAATATTTAATGTATATTAAAATATATATATATATATATATTTTTTTTATAAATTAAATGAAAACGAACACGTACATATGAAAAATAAATATAATAGATACAAATTTTATAACGAAATATTTACTTCATGTTATATGCAATATGCGCGTTGCAATATCAACAGTAAGAAAAAAATTTTTAATCTATAATTAAATAAAAGAAAATATATATATATATATATAAATAATTAAATAAATAAATAAATAAAAATTTATTAATTATATTATATTCAATATCTATGTATATATGTACTGTACAATCGACGATGATAAAAAGAAAATTAAAAATTCGTATTGACGAAAAGAAAAAAAGAAAAAAGAGAGAGAGAGAGAGAGAGAGAGAGAGAGAAATAACAACTAATTATTCAACCGTGATGTATATATATATATATATATATATATATATATATATTCAGATGCAATAATGAAAGGAAACATTGTGAAAGGGGAGGGGATGAATTCGATGAACGATAATTATTCGCCACGAGACACACTAATTCGATTTTGTGGATGTTGCTCGCGTTAGATAACGTAAATGCTTTCGTTGGTAAGCTTGTATCGTTTTCGATCAACGTTTCAATTAATCACGCTCGACGAGAACTCATCATCATCGAGCCATCCCTGATTTTCCAACGATTTTCAACGCGATCATCGTCATGCGTGTTCGGTTCAAGAGAACGACGTGTTTTTAATTAATTAATTAAAAAATATTTTTAAAAAATATACGATATACGATCAACGTCGAATATAATCGATAATATAATCGACGTTTCCAATTATATTTCGATTTATTTATTATTTAAAAAAGCTGTCTCTCTATCTGTCTCTCTCATTCACTCAACTCAATCACACACTCTCTCTCTTTCTCTCTCTCTCCCTCTCGTTCCAATGTTCATTATAATCTAACATAAATTTTATTATAAAATTTTTTAATATTTTAGTCAACAATTAGATGAATTGACGGAATTTTTCTTTTTTATTTTCTTTTTTCCTTTTTTCTTTTTTCTTTTTTCTTCTTTTTTTTTTTTCTTTTTATGACGAAAAAATAAATTTAATTAAATCTTTAAGTCTCTTCGTGTGGATATATACACGTATATGTTTTTTGCATACCTATACGTACATAATACATACATAAATATATATATATATATGTATATATATAATAGACTTTTGTATGCACTTTTTATATATTAACATTAAACTATCAGATAAAAGTTTTAATTTATATTGTAGTAACTTACCGGTTCTCACGCATTCTTCGGACATGCACACGTTCGGACCTATAAAAGAAAAGATATTGCAGTTTTAAATAATTTGTTAGAAAAAAATATTAATCGAGGATAAAGTTATCAATTAATTTCTTTCAACCATGATATATTTATTTATTTATTTATTTATTTATTTATTTATTTATTTATTTCCTTATTTCTTTACTTATTTATTGTCTTTTCTTTTATATGTGCATTTATTTTTTTTTTCTTTTTTTTTTTTTTTTTATAAGATAATCGTTGAGATAGAAAATTCTATAACACGATTTGTCGGTATGTATAATTTTTATTTTCCTTGAACTTGTCTGGAAATTTCATCTCTCGTATATTATTTTCTATTTTTTTTTTCTTTCTTTCTCTTTTTTTTTTTTCCCATTATTTTTTCAGAGAAATAAAGGAAGGGCATAAGCGATGGTCACAGGTATTCGTGATATACATGCAAGGGAGCGTTTTATCCAAACGCGAAGGAAAGTAACGATCGCCGAGAAATAATTTTGAAGAAAAAGATACAATCTCTCTGAGCATTTTTTATTGTTTTCCTGTTTTACGAAACGAGAAGCTTCGAGTGATACGAATGAAGAGAAATAGCGAGTCCGATAGCGATTCAACGACTTTGATAATCTTATCTTATTTTTTCTTTTTTTTTTTCCCCTCGCCCTTTATTATGGACTCACCTGAGTGAAATTTCCCTTCTTTTCTTTTCTTTTTTTTTTTTTTTTCTTTTTCTCTTTCGTTCGATTTCATTTCATTCTCATGTAAATGGCTATAAATGAAAATGAATAAATGAGAAATGTAAATGAGATTAAATTATTATATATATATATATATATATATATATATATATATATATATGTATATTAAGAGAATGTTATCTCTTTTTTCTTTTTCTCTTTTTTCTTCTTTTAATTAAAATATCGTTTAACCGTCATATTACTTTTAGTCATATTACTTTTTGCAAATGAAGATATATATATATATAATGAAAAAATTTTTTTTATATTATTATTATTATTGTTGTTATTATTGTTATTAATATTAGCAGTTACAGATAAGGACAATAAATTATAATTTTGTTATTAATATTATTATCATTACATTATTATCTCAAAGATATATATATATATATATAAAAAATATTGTATTTTACTATTATTATTTTACTATTTTATTATCAATGTTGTTATGATATACCTCATTAAAATTTTATATACACGTCAAAGAAAAACCTTATATCTATATATGTATAATTATGTTTTATGTATTAGAAAAAGACAATGCATCCAACGTTCGCAATAATAATATACTTCTCCATTTTTCTTTGTAATGAGCCTGAAACATTACTAAGCTGACTTACGTTTCGAAATATTATTTAAATCTCCCTTTTTCGTTTTTCTTTTTCTTTTCTTTTTTTTTTTCACAAAGAAAATGAGTTCATTTAATCATCCTACGTATCTATTTATTTCTTCCCTTAGTAGAACAGGAAAGCGTACGTGATTCAAGTCACCAGAATAAAACTTCTCTACACTCGAGGGAAAATTCGTCCGAGTTCTTTCTATTGTTCTGGCGGAATGCAAGGGCAGAACGAAGATAAGGGACAAGGAGGGAAAGAGGAAGGAAGGGTGGACAGGAGGATTTGAATTATTAATTCGTTACCTTCGTTACGCGATCACGAACGACGGGTTTCTTTTTTCATTTTTTCCCTCCCCCCTTTTCATTTTTAGTTGGATTCGTTAGGGTCGGCAAGAAAAGATAAAAAAAGAAAAAAAAAAAAAAGAATGAAAAGATCAATTTTTTTCTCGTGAAATTAATTAATTAATTTTTAAAAAATTTCGAAAAAAAGACAAGAAAAAAAAATACGCATTAATTACAGATTTTTTTTTAAAGACCGCAGTCGGTAGGACTCGAACCTACGCTCCCAGAGGGAATCTGATTTCTAGTCAGACGCCTTAACCACTCGGCCACGACTGCTATATATCTTATCTCTTGTTAATTTTGTTTAAATAAAAAACTAACATCTATAATTCATTTTTTTTTTTTTTTTATTTTATTTACATGTATATAATACGTATTAGAAAAATATCATAAAACTATCAAAATACCATCAAAAAAAAAAAAATCAAGAGATATCTCGAATTTTCTACGAAGTAAAGTATTTATTTAATCACATACAGGAAGGTGGGGAACTGATGTCCTGCGGCCCAACAAATTGGGATCCAATAACATTCTTTTACGAAATCTTTCAGATTGATTTAATTATTTTTTCTTTCTTGTTTTTTTTTCCAGATCGTCACATTTTTTGTTTCTTTCAGCTGTCACGAACATGCAATAATTAATATTTCTAATCTCGTTTAGAAACTTTTGAAACACCCCACCCATCCTCCCCGTCATTCCCAATCCATCCCATATTGTGTATCTAATATTTATGGAAATTTAAATCGAAATAAACGAAGTCGAAGTTTCGTCTGATTTGAAAAAAATTTCGCAAGAGTTGACGATTGATCGATCGATCGATCGTGATTGCGAATTACGAAATGATGTGAAAGAGAAGAGAATTTAAAAAAAAAAAAAAAGGAAAAGAAAAAAGATACCAAAAAAATTAAATAGTGAAGAAAAAGTTATGACGCCGTGTTATTTTCGATTATATTACGTAAGAAATTCATTCGTTCATTATATATATATATATATATATATACACACACATGTGTATGTGTGTATCTCTTTATCTATTTTAATACGAACGTTAAAGATTTATGTCAACTATCGACACGATCTTAATGGAATCGAATCGAGTTGAGTCGAGTCGAGGCTATCGAGTCCTTCTACTCGAAAAGGCCAATTCCCAGATCGGTTTATAATCCTTTCACCAGTAAAAAAAAAAAAGAGAGAAAAAAAGAAGCGAAGAAGTAACGATTAAATTAGAAAAAAAAAAAAAAAAAATCCAATCCGGACAATCCGTTACGATCTGATCTGTCTTCACCCATGGATAAAATATCGCGTAATACCGACGTTTCTCAATATTTTATTCCATCAAATGAAAAATGTTCGATATCCGTCAACGAACAAAAATTATTTTTCTACGGGATAATTTTTTATGGTCCGTTGAAAGAAACAAAAGCAAAAATAAAAAAAAATAAAAAAAGAAGAACGAAATTTTTTTTCAAACGATAAAAATCGTTTCGACGATAAGCTTGTGTTGGAAATGCATTAAATCATTTTATTACGTTCAAATATTTTTTTATAAAAAAAAAAAAAAATATATATATATATATATATATAAAATATTAAAATTCTGTTATGTAATAATCATTGATCAACGGATATCTAATGTCAGAATAAATTAATGTTATTCAACGCATTAATTTTTGGAACGTACATAATAAATAATAATTAAAAGTTAAAAGTGTTTTAAAATTAAACACGTATATCTGTAACTATTACAAATATTGAAAAAAAAAATATGTATATATATATATATATATATAGATTTATACGTACATATTAAACATCAAAAAATTCTATTACATAATAAGCAATAATTAAAAATTAAGAATATTCCGAAATTAAATATATATATATATATATATATATCAGTGACAAATAAAAACAAAACAAAACAAAAAATATATGCAGATATATATTAAACAACAAAAAATTCTATTACATAATAAACAATAATTGAAAATAGAAAAAAGCTTGAAAATTAAATACGTGTATTTGTAAGTAGCATAAATATTGAAAGAGAAAAAGAAAATATGTATGCACATATGGATTAAAAAAAAAAAAAATAAAAAGAGAAAAAGAGAGATAGATAGAGAGAGAGAGAGAGAGAGAGAGAGAGAGAGAGAGAGAAAACGTATTTTATTTTATAAGAACATTTTCAAACGCGAACTATCACGTAGATAGAAAATTCAATTGAAAACGAAAATGGACAAAAGGGAAATCTCATTCGAATTTCTAGCACGAGTTCGCACAAACACAAATAACGACATATATTTTCGTAACACGTGGCAAGCATAAAATTTCAACCCCTCTCGTTAAAGCTCCGTATACTTTATGTTACGTTAGCGCATCGATATCTCTCTCGATTTTACTTCGTCTCTTTTTACTCTAACTCAAGGTCATTAACAAGGTCAACGAAGAAATTCAATGATTCGAAATAAATTCATGTCCGATTTAAAATCGATCTATATAAATATTGTTTAATATTTATTGATACTTAATTAGACGTAATAATTGCGTCTAATATAATAAAATCTGATATATTTTTTTTCTTTTTTTTTTCTTTCTTTTTTTTTTTTTAATAATAATTATATATTTATATATATATATATATATATATAAAAAAGAAAATAAATCGATAGAAAAATGATCGAGGATGAAAAATTAATTTACGAAGAAAACAAAATGTACGTATGATTTTTTACTTTCAATTATTTCCACGAATCATTATCAACGAATTTAATAAAGGACATTATTATTTTCTTACGAAATTAATTGCAATAATTTTTTTACTGCAACAATCAGTTCAGAACGATATCGATCGATCGATATTATCGCAAATGTGTTTAATTTGGAAGAAAGGAAAAAAAAAAAGAAAAAAGAGAAAAGAAAAAAATAGATGATGAGAAAAAAAGCGAAAGAAAGAAGGAAAGAAAAGAGAGAGACGAGAGAGAGAGAGAGAGAGAGACGAACGAAAAAAAAAAAAGAAAAACAAAAACAAAAACAAAAATAAAAGGATAAAAAAAGGATGATAAAAGACTCACGTGGCTCTTGGACGCATTCCCGCGTTGTATTCAATACCAAGACAAGTAAAGTTAATAGAGAAATGCCGAGCAATGTGATAGCCAATATGCCTAACATTTGTTGCCTAGCAGGAGCCCCACTTCGTCTTCTTGTTACCGAAGTTGCTCGTGTTATTCCAGCAACCTGTCTTCTCGTATTCGTTGGACGAAGAACGCTTGTCACTGTTGTACCACCTCTCGGCCCATAGGTAACCTTCCATAATCGATGTCAAAGAAAAGAAGAAAAAAAAAAAAAAAAAAAAAAACAGAAACAAGAAACATCGATTAATATTTTTTTACGTATAGACTCAATCCATGGATAACATAAATTCATAAATCCACAAATGAAATTGATTCATAACATTATTTATTAAGAGATAATATTCTAATGAGATTTCAAATAAAATAATTCTCAACTAAATTCGACATTTTGTCGTTATGTTGAAAAATAAATAAACGATAAGATAAA